CGGCTTTAATGGGAAGGTGTGGAGATGCGAGTTCGCAGGGAGAGAACCTCCTACAAGTGGGCGGCAAGGTGAATCTAGAGTGTAAGTCTTCAGCGATGGCTTCCGGCCCCCAACCACAGTAACCCTCCGCTCTGCACCCCCCACCGACCCTACCCAGCAATGACAGGTACTCAGAGCGCATACAAGTCATGTGACGGGATGTCAATCACAGCAGACAGGGGACTGCACAGGAGGCATTCATGAGGCTCGGCTGTGGAAGAGGCAAAAATATCAATGAGCAATACCCTACATGAGACAAGCTTTCATCAGCAGGCCGAGCATGACATGAGGTCAGATAGAAGACTGAAGGGAAGGACGGAGGTCAGATAGAAGACTGAAGGGAAGGACGGAGGTCAGATAGAAGACTGAAGGGAAGGACGGAGGTCAGATAGAAGACTGAAGGGGAGGACGGAGGTCAGATGTATGGAATAATTATTAGCAGGGTTCCATTAGAGGTTTTACCCCGCTGGGGCAGGAAGGATGAAGCCGCCATTATGGACAGAAGTGGAATGAGTTGAAATATGGGGGGAAATGAAGGCCGCGATTCTCCTGCCTCCACCGCTCCCCCTCAGTGATGTACGAGTGACACTCTAGAGATAATTTACATTTTATTTTCCAGTCGCCCGGCCGCGCTCGGTATGAGCCGTATCTGTCCTATCGGTGCAGACCCCAGCATGTGCGCACAGCAGAGACCCCGCCCCCCCCCCTGCGCACAGCACGCTTCGTACGCGCTGAGGGAGGGGCTGCTGCCCGGGCACCGTCATATCACAAACAGCAAGTACAGACACGGCCGCAGTTTATTCACACTGATTGGAAGATGGCATTCAGAAAGATTAAGGCACCACGCATGGGACAAGGAGGTCCGGTACAAGAGAGTCTGCTGAGCGCGCGGCACCACAGTGCAGCAGGGAAAACGGTTAATAAAATTGCGTCTTCCCTCACAAATAAAAATCCTCCGGCGCTCTGTCACTGGAATCAGATCCGTTCCTCGTCACTGTACAAATAAAAAATGTCAGCGGCGTTGAGCATGTCCACAGCGCACCCCCTTCCCTACCGGAGGGTCCACAGGCACCGTGCGCGGGGGGGGGGGGGGCCCGGAGGGACCCCACAACAAAATGCCACCCCTCCCGACGGGCAATGCCACCCCTCCCGACGGGCAATGCCACCCCTCCCGACGGGCAATGCCACCCCTCCCGACGGGCAATGCCACCCCTCCCGACGGGCAATGCCACCCCTCCCGACGGGCAATCCCACCCCTCCCGACGGGCAATGCCACCCCTCCCGACGGGCAATGCCACCCCTCCCGACGGGCAATGCCACCCCTCCCGACGGGCAATGCCACCCCGTCCGACGGGCAATACAACCCATTTTATTTTGTATCCAATAAAAGTGTCTTTTTATTTCCTTCTCACATCTCCTGAATTCAGTGAATGAGACATCATCTCGCTCCCTATAGATTCCTTATGTCCCTTCCAGATCTGACTGATCTTCCATTTCTAATTCTCATCTCCTTGATGGTTACTTATAACTGAACCCCTAATTCTGGAATCTCCCTTTCTTGTCCTAGCAATACGCGTTCAATAAAAAGAAGTGAGATCAGCTATCTTCTATCTAGTAAGTTCCCTTTACCCCAAATCCCAACCCAACATGTTTCGGCGCTCTTCACAGCTTCCTCGGGGCGTATAAAAGTACACATAGAAAACAGAAATCAGTCATCAGATTACCAATCGGGGGGGCAGGTCTGACATGGGGAAGCAAAGCGCTGCCTCTACCAAGATGGCCGCCTCCACACAGTGCAGAACAAGGCATGGTGAGCCAATAACAGGGAAGAGACCCCGCACATTACTGGCGACTAGTCCTTTGCCCTCAGCTTGCCATTTTTTGGGCTCAGCTCATCCCTCTCCTCCTCATCGTCACACTGGAGCATCGGCCACTTACCTCCTTTGAGAAATATTTCGTTATCCATGGAGTCTCAGTCTCGGCGCGGTGGCGTTCCTCTGCCCTCTGACGCTCCTCTAGCGCCCTCTTGTGTTCCGTTGCCTCCTCAATATTTTTCGCCATCAGGGCCTCCGTCACATGCGTCCAGAGCCTCCTATAGATAGCAGAGGGGAGAGTTTATGTGCGTCAAGAATCGTATATAATAAAGAGAGTCAGATCGCAGCTTTGGCACCAATGGAGATTGG